GCTGGGGCACGAGGGTGCTTCAATGTAGGGCTAGTCGGCAAGCAGCCCCAGCACTGAAACATCCTGTGCCCCAGCCAGCCAGATCAGCATCTATCTGTGCATTGCTACACACAAAAAACTCCGCAGCAGGATAGTACTTGTATTTACAAGTGCTACCCTGCTGCAGAATGTATTGGTTTCATGTGCCCTAACAGGAGTGCACATGTCGATGCTGAGATGTTTCCTGTGGAGTTAATTAGTCAACTGTGCAGTAAACATCTCATGTAGACGTGCCCTGCTGTACATGGTAGGGGGGTTTATTCATACTGTGTTAATCAAGTTCAGACTGAGTGTGTTTGGCTTAGTAAGTTTTCTATTCATAAATATTTTCCCCATTGTTGTTAAATACTCTTGATTCCTTAAACTCAGTACATTCTGGTAGTGGCCGAGTGCAGATGGGGGAAGACCTGGTTCTTGTCATTCCCAGAGCTGCTCATCTTACCTGTAATACTTTGCCTTGCGGGCTCTCGGCAAACAGTAACACCTGATTGTATAGTGGGTCTAATGATTTGCGAGCCACTTTTGTCTTCTTTTTGGCAATGCACACTCCGTTTTCTAATAGATAAGCCTTGATGTAAGCAGCTGAAAGAAAAATAGGCGGTCACAGGTTTGACGAGATATGGCTTTCTTTGCTATCAACTGTGAAAACAGCATCTTGCAGCAACCAAAGAATTTACTGTTCATTCCATCTTATTTTCAAGAAAATGTATAGAGTAGAAATCTGCTAGGCCAGGACCATTATTCTACCTATTGAGCCGCAACTCAGAAGGCAGGGGTTCAGGTGGTTGTCAGTGACTTCAAGCAGGCCAAAATACTCACGTACCTGGAAGGGTTTTGGAGCCAGGCTTTGGAGTTAGTCCTCGGGCCTGTATGATATCCACTTCTAGATGTCCATTTCGCTCCTGCAAGCCAATTTCCACATCCCCTGAACAACAAGCCAAAACCATTTAGACAGAATCAGAGACACGTGGGACATTTTAACAAGTCTGAGTGCTAACAGACCACTTAAAAAATCCTCCTGTCAATGATCAGAATAAAAATATAGGTCCAAGTGCCTGATTTCCCCTGCATTACTCGGAAGTAACTCAGTGATTCAAGCCCACATTTGCAAAAGTGGCCTCTAATTACAGCCCTTCAATCACAACCCTAGTCAGTCAGGCTAATTGTTTCCAAAGTGACATATAGCCTCTAATCTGTCCAAAACAGAGGCACCTAGAATTACATTCATGCTTTTGAAAATGGAATTTTGATGCACCAGAAGAAAATCCTTAGGGAGTTTACATGCTTCAGAGAATCGGAGAATTATGAAGATGCACAGGATACACTGGCTGGATGCACAGTAAATCTAGGTCAGGCCTTTCATACTTGAAGGACATTGTAGGAATAAGGAAAGATATTGCTAAAGTAGCAGTAAAACAGTAAGACGCTAATCACCAAAACCTAACAGCCAAGCACATTTTATTTAACTTAGAAAAGAGCAGGTGCTGAGCAGATTAGGGGGTGGCTTGTGGAAACAGTACATGCAGTATTCATTTTAAACTAATTTATGCCTTTATGTTCCTTACCCATGGAGGTGGTGGCCAAGGTCTGACGACCAACAAATTGTGCAGGACCCATACTCCCCAGGAAGTCACTAAACTGCCCAGCAGATGCCAGATGGACTCCACTGAAATTCAGGCTGCAAGAGAAATTGATTTTGGCAACTCATTAGTTTAGTGCTTTAAAATGACCCTGTGATTAAACAGCCTGCTTTATTATACACCTAAAATGGATGCTATCTACATAGACATTGTACTTTCAGAACCCATTGGTTTCCATGCAGTCTAGCTACATGTGATCCATCTAAAGTCCCCTTCTCCTGCAACTTATTAAGGCAGGAGCAGTTAGCCAATGCCATTACTGCAACATTTGTTTTTCTATGATTAAGCACCTAGGGGACAAAAAACCCCACCCTTCTCTGTCAGGGTCAGGGGCTTCCCTTCAACCTCTTCATTAGCATTAACATTTGGACAGCCTCTGGGTCATCTTGCAATTTGTTTCCTGGTAATTGTCCATCTTTTGGAGCGTGGGTTAAATGTAAAGATGGGGGTGGGAGGTACCAAAAAATCATGGCCAAATGACTGAATTCTCCATTTATTTTGCAAAAGCCATGGCAAGTGCAAGCCCATGCACACCCACCTCAAAGCAATTACCTTTTTTGAGGCAGAGGGACTTCACTGAGTGGTGAGAAAAGTAACATTTTGTAACATTTTGTAACATTAATCAAATTCACCATCCTGTTTTTATTCAGTAAAGGCATCTGAAATGACCTCAAAAATGAAGCCTGAATCCAAAAATGCGTGCACAGAACTCACAGATGGTGCCCTCAAACCCCAGATGGAGTGTGGGCCATATATTACTGCAGGAAAAAAATGGAGCTGCTAAAGAAGGCAGATTTGAGATCAGAATCTATTTGCAAGGCACCTGAGGCTGTCCTGCAGTTTTTAGCCCCTGGCTAAAACATGCAACATGGACATTGGTCAAGCCAGTGTGACCTGCATGGGTACAAATCAAGGCTTATGCTGGTATGTTGTCTTTGCACTCAGGCTTTCTGCCAGCACCACTGACACAGTTGCCTATGGAGCCCTGGTAGATAAGGCCTGATTTGTATCCCATAGATTCCCAGTCTGGTTACACTTTTCTTTAAGAAATCTTCTCTGCACATGAATGTCAGATAATTATGAATCTCTTGCACTTTTTCACACATCCCTGAAAGGGACATACCTTAGCAGCTTCACAATACAGGTCACTGCTTCTTAAAATCAGTTTCTTACAAATCTGTGATAAGGGCCACAATTCACAAATGCTTATGTCTCAGATCAGTACAAATCAAGTTAAAAAAGAAACTAAGGGACAGTAACTCAGGGCTAGGGACTTCACTCGCATGCACTGTTTAGTCAGTCACAAAGATTTTTCCCATGTAAACTATTTACATTTGAAGGATGATTTTTAAAATTTCCATTTACTTAGAAGGGTGTTAATTTTAAGTTGTTTCACCTCTTATTAGCTATTTGCAAACCAATCATCAGCCTACTGGGAGTATTTTTTCTTCTTATGAGTAAGAACTTACCCAAACAAACCACAGTGAGTGCTACCACAGTAACTGTAATACATGTAATAGTACACATGTAACTGAGTGAGCATCTCTGACCTCGCAAACAGACAGTCAGCTGTCCCTTAGGTGCTGGATGGGGTGGCCAGGCTTTCAAAGAGCACTGGTTGCACGGTTGACCAGTGGGAGCTGAGGAGTGTGCAGGACTCTAGAAGAGGGTCACGTCTCTGTACAGGGGACGTGAATTATGAGTGTTCAACATGTATCCACGGTTTGCACAGCAGTCCCTGGTGATATTTTCAGACAAGCCAAAAATGGCATGATCTATAATCAGCACTAATTTCAGAGAGCACTGGTGTGGTATTTTGGATTGTGCGTGGAAGTTTGTGTCACTGACTCTTCAGCTGCAAGGCACCTCCCAAATGAAGTGCATTGTCCCTCCTGGGAGAGTGCAACTACTGGACTCGGGTCACTTCCTGTCAATACAGTGTAACCCGGGTACACCCAAGGGTGTGCCCTATTCTCAATCGGATGGGACAGGTAGGCAGGAATTTCGAGCGGATCCCTCCTTCCTCTATAGAGTTAGCCCAAGCCCGAAGTTCTTAACTATATACAATTTACAACATATATATATACAACATACATATATCTAAATCTTTAAGACAGATATAATTACAGATATAAATACAAATATACATATAAAGGTCTGTTATCTGGAGGAAGTCGGCCCTAGGGAGGGCACTGGGGTAAGTACCTGTGCCTCAGGCCCAGAAGAGGGGTGGATCCCAGGACGGTCAATCCAGCAAGTTTATACCACAAGTGGGTTAGCTAATAGACATCTTTACAGAGCCCATTATACAGAATTAATACACCCAACTATTTATAACACCAACAGTAACAATAGATACTGAATAGGAAACATCCAACCACTTGGTCCCTCAAATGGGATAAGGTCTTCTCCCCCTAGGGTCCCTTGCCTGGGGGCACCTCCCCTGCGGGACTCGGGTTCCCAGTAACTCACGGTCCTTCCTCTGGGTGCTGTTGATCTGGCCTCTGGGTCCCCACACCATCTCAGGCCTCCTGGAGCCACTGGCCTGGAGTTGAGGGTTCTTCCCTCTGGGCCCTGTGCCCCGCATTGGGCACCCAGGGAACTCCTATGGGAGCTGAGCCCTCACTGGCTCTGGTTCCCCAGCCTCACACCAGGGGTCTTTCCCCTTCCTGGGCCCTGCTCGGGGCACCAGGGCTCTTTCAGTTTAATGCTGAGCCACACTGCAGGACTCTGGTTATCTGGCCCAGAGCTGGGGCTAACTTGAGCAGCCTCAAGTTGCTCCCAGGGCCAGCTCTCCGTGCGCCACTTGCGTGCCTCCCTGCCTGGCTGCTTGCCGGAGTTATGGGCCTGAGCCTCCCTGCTGCAGCTCCCAGGGCCTGGGCCTGGGCCTGTGCACCGCACTGTGCACTATGGGACCTGCCAGCCCTCTGGGGTTGCAGGCTCGAGCTACTGCTCATGGCTCCCAGAGCCCTAGCTCCATGTGCCAAAACGTGCACCGTGATGCCCGGCCACCCACTGGGGTTGCAGGCTCGACCTGCCACTTGCAACTCCCAAAGCCTGGACTCTGTGCACTGAACCGTGCACCATGATGGGCCTGAGTGGTCTCACACTGCTCCCAGGGCCAGATCTCCATGCACCATCCCTGGGCACTGTCCACAGCCCAAGTGGTCTCGCACCGCTCCCAAGGCTGCTCCTCCAGTAGCGGCTTCAGGAGCCTTGGGCCTATTGCCCGCAGGGGAAGAGCTCCCCAGCTTTTATCGCTCCACTCTTCTTGAGTCCCTCACCACATCTCTTCTCCAGCCTGCTGAGCATGCTCCCCTTTTATACTCTTCAGGGGCTCCACCCTCAAAGTCCTCCGGACCTGGCTGGTGCAGATCCCATCCAGGTCCGGCTGCTCCTTGCCCCCTCCCTTCAGAAAAGGGCGGGGCATTGCTTCCCTTGTGCTGACTCTGGATTGATGGGTGGGCTCCACCAATCAAACAGCAGACCTTCAATCCTGGGACTCAACCCAAGCTCCGAAAAGGTAAGCCTGCTACAACACATCCCTGGCTTTCTTTTCCCAGGTCTGCTGGAGTCTGGAATCTGCTCTGATGCAGCACTTTTCCAGGTTAGTGCTGCGGTGAGCAGACAATAGGATGGATACACTAAACCTGTGTTGGGTCCAGTCCTGTACAGACACAATGAATGCTACGGGGAGTAAAACAGAAGCTGTTACACCCACAGGAATAGGGACTCAGGATTGGGAGTCCCACAGTGAGACAAAGTGCTGCCCATGACTCTGATCACGTAGGGAGAAGGCAAATAAACTGCATGATAGACTGTTTTGTGGAAATGGGAGAGGTTCCCAACACCAAACTGGCCATGGCTCAGTCAGCAGCCTAGACATATTCCAGCCTCTGGTGTTACGGAAACTGGAGGATCCAGAGCCCTCTTCTCTATCTGTTGTTTCTGATATTCAGGGGTAATCCAGGACCTCCTGCCATGTAAGCTACCTTCTCTGCAGTGCTCAAATCTTTAGCAGGCTTTCCACTCACTGCCCAGAGACTACTTGCTCCCCCTCAGTGGCCACTGCCCCCCACCCACCCTACCTAAACTGGAGCTGTCTGAGTGCCATGCTGCCCTAATCTTTGTCCTCTTGGCTGAGGCTGAGCCTGCATTTCTGCCCATCTCCTATGAAGTAGCGAATTGATTAGTTATTGGAGTGTTCTGGGACCCCAAGATCCTTCTGCTGGCCCTGGACAGTACCATTAAAGCCAACAAGGCTATCCACAGCAGTAAGGTACTATACTCAGCCCTTGCAGGTGAGTATCTTCACCAAGTACCTTCACCAAGGACTTGCTAAGTGTTGTTCTGTTCTGTGGGGGAAGTAGTAGTGTCTCTGAGAGGTTCTGGGTTATGTTTTGCTGTGGAGAGGCTCATGTTATGCCACGCTATTGAAACACACATGCTGCAGGAACCAGACATCTGTCAGCCTCCTTGGCTCCAAGTGATTTCTGAACACTGCAATTTAGATGTTGCCAATAATCTTGGGAAGAAAAACCTAACTCCCGATTGGGAAAGCAACGCGAAACCTCATGAACAGCCACTCTTTCTCTGTGGAGAGAGGAGAGGAGAAAATATAGCTCTCTGGAAAGTTATCAAGCCCGAGGAAAAAAAGATCTCCAACTAGCCATTAACCGTATCAGCTAAAGTAAGGGACTTCAAAAAGTTAGTTCATTGAGCTGTAGAAACTCAGTTGCTTAAATGGTAACTTGAGAAGCTTTGCTGGCATTTGGAAGACAAACACACCCCAACATGATGCCAGACGTTAGGCTGAGATAAACAAGAACAAACCCCTTCCTTGCTCAGGATTCAGCTTGAACTGCAGCTTCTGGGAAGACTGTGCACAGATTCTAAACACAGCAGTGGGATTGCAGCATCTGTGCTCTCAGGGGAGAATGGTCACTTGGAGCTCTCAAATCCAGGTTTGTGAAGCAAATTAAAATGGTTTAGCTGGAGGCCTGCACCCTCAGACAGAGAAGGTCTGGGTGACCTACTT